GTGCGGGAAGCAACAGGTTTCTTATTGGTTTGTTTAAATCTAGCATATAGGCCACCTAGGGGGTACAGGTCTGCATTCCAAAAACCACAGGTCTGCATTCTATTCTTTCTGTTCCTGCTTATCTGTTCCGGTTTATTCATTCATGCCTCAGGATGAGGGTGCTCTGTTCTTCAACCGGTTGTCCGGAAAGCATGCCTGGCGCCTGAACCTGTTTATGGCCTGCCTGATATCTTGGTTTCATATCTTGGCCTTAGGTAACTGGCCTAACTGGGCTAGGGTCTTTCACATATATATATATAGAAAGAGAGAGAGAAAGAGAGATAGATGATACAAAAGTACAATTAATGTTTTTCATGTTAATATTATCTAGAATCATTTTTAATTATCTGGATTGTTAAAATATTATGTTACTGACACCTGTAGGTAAGCATCTGAACAGAAGTGTATGCAATCCATGTCTTTTTAAAAGCCAAATGTAATTGACTGATACTGCTTTCTAGAAAGCAAAGGAAGACTTTCCAAGTCTTTTTTCCAGAGAAGGGGGGGGAGGAGTAATCATTTATACTTTATCATTCTACTCACCATGAGTCCCTACTTCAACTGAATTACTTTAATTTACAAATTTTCTTCTACTCAAGGACAACTTCTTCCAGGAGGGCAGGRTTTCTTTGTTTGGTTTAGTTTGGGGGTCTGTTTGGTTCATTGAGATAACCCAAGTACCTAAAATACTTAGACAACTTGAAGCTTAAAGGGAAACAAATTTTTACTAAGTCAATGTAGGTTAAGAGATGAAGGAGGGACTTGGAAGGAAGTGGAGTGAGGGCAGATCAGAAATGAAAGAAGCCAACTTCAGTTGTTTCATTGTTTGTACAATCACTTATAGTAGCAACCTGTGGGCAGTGATTACTGCCAAAGAGGTATGAGAAAGCTTCCTGCACCTTATGAAATACTTCACATAACTTTGTGAGCTGCCAAGTCTCACAAAGATTATTTTTAAATATTATTTTTAGTTGTAGATGAACACAATATCTTTATTTTTTTCTTATTTTTATATGGTGCTGAGGATCGAACCCAGTGCTTCACACATGTGAGGCAAGCATTCTACCACTCAGCTACAGCTACTGGGGTCCAAGAAAAGATATTATTAAGCTAAATAGAGAAAGCACAATTATTTGCATTTCTTTGTAAAATAGTGCTTAAAGACACTCTCTACATAGAGTAGGCCCTTTGTAAAAATGGAACTGAAAAAACGCAGAACATTGGGTCACCTTAACAAACTGGGATAGAAAATATATTTGACTACTCTTTTTTTTTCATATTACTATAGTCCTAATTTAGACTGAGAATTATTTGATTGTTCCATCTTTATTTCAAATTAATTGTGTTTATTGTCATTGCCTTTTAGTCTTTTTAGAAGAGCCCTCTGTTCCATAACAAAGAACTCAAAAATATGATGCAAAACAAATATACAGTGTACCTTCTTTTTGATCCTTAAAGAGTTCTTTAAAAATATTGAAGGCATCACTTCTTTGTTTACAATAGCTTTTTCTCCACCCCCACACCAGTAAGCAAACTCTCTATTTGCCTGAACATTTATATATGCATTTTTACCCTTTCTTAAGATTCTAAGAAAAACCTCACTGGTGTAGAAAACCTCTGCTGACATGGGGGCTTGTTTAATTGTGACCTTCTTTCGCCTTATTCTGGACGGTTTGTCAACAAGCCATGCATGCCAAACAAGGAAGGCAAACCAGCTGAAGGTTTCTCAGTCAATGTTCCAATGTGCAAAAGTTGAAAGTTAGTGGAGTTTTTTAAAAAGCTCATAGAAAATTTATTGAGAAAGAATCAGCTTTCTTAGACACAAAATATTCTGTATGAATATAGAGACTCATGTGGTTTTTTAAAATTTTTTGTAGTTTTAGATGGAAAGAATGCCTTTATTTTATTTGTTTATTTTTATGTGGTGCTGAGGATTGAACCCAGTGCCTCGAGCATGCTAGGCAAGTGCTCTGCTGCTGAGCTACAGCCCCACCCTGAGAGTAGTCATATCCTTTTGTGTGATCTGGTTTGTTTTATTTTTATTTTGTAGCCTTGTTCTCAACTCTTCATTTTAGGATATTTAAAGAGATTTTAAACAGTATCAGTGTCATCATCCCTAGAGATGCTGCACTGAGGTCTGGGCATGAGTATTTTCAGAAACTCTTCCTGGGTAATTTTAATGTCCATGCTGTGGTTGGGGAGGATGCAAGCAGGTTTGGATTAGAGCTTGTTAGGATAGTGGAGATATGTAGGGATGTGATATATGACATAGATCAATGTAGGGGGTAGAAGTATAGTTTGTTTATGGCTTAAAAAGAATTATGAAGATTCTTTCTCCCGAATTCTTTTGAATTGAAGCAATTGCTATGTGATGAGAAATAGAATGTTCACCATATCAAATTACTTGTTGCAGAGAAAATTTTATAATTAGAACAACAAACCCTGACCAAGTGAGCACTGAAAGTGCACTGATGCTTCCAGTGTGGTGGTGCAGGCCTGTGATCCCAGCAGCTCAGGAAGCTGAAACAGGAGGATCGCAAGTTCAAAGCCAGTCTCAATAATTTAGTGAGGCCCTAAGCAACTCAGTGAGACCCTGTTTATAAATAAAATACAAAAAAAGGGCTGGGGATGTGGCTCAGTGATGGAGTGCCCTGGGTTCATTCCCCAGGACCAAAAAAAAAAGCATACTGTTGCATTTTTAGTGCTAAGTATTCCTAGCTTATTAAATATGTTTAATTGAACTACAATTAGGATTTTTGTGGCTTTATAATAGCCCTTTTCTAATTGCTCTATGGCGTCACCTGAAGAGCTTAATTCAAGAGAATTTTAACAAAGAAAGTATTTACAGAGGTAAGAAAGGTAAGGAAGGGATTTATCAAAGTTTGTGAGGTACCAAAAAAACAGTACATGTCTGTTGGCCTTATTAGGGATTAAAAGAATTATTACACATACATGCGTAGAACAAACTAAGCTAATAATTAAAAGCTATTAGCATTCCTAGTCCCATAGAAGCAAAAAGAGGGCACCTGACTGTTGGTATAGCTAGTAGTAAAGCACTTCTCTAGCTTACACAAGGCCTAGTTTGATCCTCAACAGAGCAAGAAAAGATGGGGGGAGATATATTACCAGAACACAGAAAGAAAAATAGCCATGGAAGAAGGGCCACCTGAAGTATGGCCAGTACCATGTAGAATTCACTGATCTTTTCCTCCCTCTGCTCTATAATCTCTTTTTTATTCCTTCATTAGCAGAACCCAATCTGAAGTCAGTCAATAAGGAACTTGTCTGAAATAGTCTATAAAAGTCAACCTCCCTTGAGGGCACAGAGCAAGGCAAAGAAGAATAGGCAGCCAGAGCTCCAAACCTCAGTGTTTGTGTCCTGACAAAGGAAAATTTAGAGTCAGACACAAAAACACACAAGGGGTTTTTATTATAAGTGAAAGTAAAGTAAGGCTT